ATCATTTCACGACGGTCGTTCTCGCGCGCACGGCGAGCGAGAACGACCTAGTGTCACCATCACCGCCTAGTGTCATTTGCAGTGGCTAAAGTTGTTCGATTTTACGGAAACCGCAACCCAGGCCATCGCTGTCCTTACTCCCGAGCTTGCGGGCGGGCAAGCTCAAACCTTTTGATGCCATTTGTTTTGCTAATAGATTCTACAAAAGAATGAACGTTCTCAGGCAAACATGGGATGGCCGTGTTCGTTTCTGAACTCAGTTCAACCCACTCAATTCCACACTAATGAAACCCCGCATTTCCCGACAAGGGGCCCATTTGAGTAAAAGACCAGGGGCACACTGCTGTCCCTGGCAACGGGCTGAAGGGTCATTCCGTCCCAACGCGGGGTGTCTTCCGGCCGCCACTCTGGCGACACGGGGTGGATCTCCGGGCGATCCAACGACGCTTAGTGGGGCAATGATATCACAGTGTTCACTCCCTGCCACAGGAGGCCTTCTGACCAGCGCAGCTGATCCAAGATCGACGCAAGAACCTCATTCACGCAACAACATCCCTGACTGTCGCAGGCGGTTCAATAATTGTCACACGGGCTGCAGTGCTGAAATTGGGCGGAAGAGCCCACCGTTTGGTACTGGGCGCTATGACTGACACAGGACCCTCCAATTGTCTCAATGTGAGCACTCGTCATAAGTTCTCAGATTTCCTTTCATCGCTAGAGGGTCCCTCGACCAATGCAAGAGGCCGCCTGTCATTCAGGGTCCCGTCCTCGTCCCAGTCGAGCAAAAGTTTCCCGACGGACTCGATACCTCTTGTTGACACCGTGCACTCTGTTAGGCATTGTTAGCCCCTGACCGATAAAGGAGCCCGCGTTGTCGCAGGAGACCCGGCCAACGTAAATCGCAGTCAAGCCTTGTTCCTGCTTAAGAAAGAGGTCCACAAAGATCAGACCGACACGGAGCCGACTACGCGGTACTGGTGTTGCCTGACCGACATAAAGACCTATGTCGACTCAGGGGTACTCGATCGGCACAAAGGACCATTTGACTGCGATTTGAGGGCCCGCTCCAGGCCGGGGCCCCTGAATAAGACTACACCAGCTCCTCGTGCCCTTAAACCCTCCAATCGTACCCTTGATCGTCGGACCCGGTGGACCCACAATGCTCTTCAGGCCTTCTCGAACTCTACCTCTGGCAGAATCGGGGCCCACTGCCAACTAGAACCCCCTTAGGCGCTGTAGGGCCCTGACAGACGCTGGGGCCCCGACCAATGTAGATCGCCGGCTTCGGCTTTGTCCCTGCTGGAAAAGTGGCCCTTAGGCCCATCCTACCACGGAGTCGACAGTATGCCGCTGATGGCGTCCGGCCACCATGTAGGTCCTCACTGGTGTTGTCCGGCCGCGATGTAGGCCCTCACTGGTGGTGTCCAGCCGCCATATAGACCCTCATCGACTCAGGGGGCCCCTGATCAACGCACAGGGCCCTCTGGCTGGCATAAGAGTGCCCAGCTCTGCGGGCCGGGGCCCCGAATACCACCTCCTTTCGCCGGCCTTTCGGGTCATCAATCGTAGGTCCTGAGGGGCCCTCTGAACCTAACGGGGGATACGTGCCCCTTTACCGCTTCTGCGCTTCTTGATTCCAGGCAGTGCCCCCGCAAGCTCGGTTAATTGAACTGGAGCTAGATTATGAGGTACCAATGCAACGACAGTTTATCATCACCTTATTTGTATCTAAACTCGTGATAAACAATTCAGCACTTCCAAAGCATCTAAATATGCATGCATGATGATGCTCCTCACGCCCCTGTTTGCTCATCTGTGTGTATTCCGAACTTATCACAAAAACGGCTACATACGGCACGTTATCGTTTAGCACACGTGTGCATCGATCCATCAGGATTATTTTAAACTTTCGCTGCTGCTGCAAGTGTCGCCGCTCGCCCAAGATGGATGCCGGAGCGCAGCCCCTTTCGCCCCGCCGGGCCACCGGCTCTTCCCCATGCGCTCAACCCGGTGACAGATTGCAGTGACGGTTGCGGCAGTGCTGTACGTGGGATTTGATGGACCGTTCTTCATGCTGAGGGACCGGTATGAACAAGGGTTGGTGCAAGTTAAGTACGCTACACTGGCCACAATCGCAGGCGGCAAAGGGCGATCGAAGCGTACCCATGGACGCCGAGAAACGGGTCGATTTCCCACCGCGCAGTGGCAGGACTCAACACAAACGAACCTGCCGGAGGTCGGCCACAGCATCCGGACAGCATAATTTGTAGCTTTATCAAGTGTATTTGTCTTTTATAATTGTGTACGGATGCATCAGTTTTTGTGTTCAGGCTTTGACAACCCTGATGGCATCGGATAGGAAGACGATAGCATCGCACTGCCATCACGCACCGGACGTGATGCGGGCGGTGATAAAATGATCGGTTGTAAGCGTACTGCCGCCCTTCCATGATGATGCTGAACGTCCAGCTGATCTTCATGAGCACGGACAGCGCTCACAAGTGATTCTACGTCAGACACATAACAAAGTGGGCGCAGCAGTGAACGATGCACATAGCTGATTCTGGTAGCGGGTACCCACGCGTTAAGTGCGCCATTTCTGGTCAGGTATCTAGCAAAAAGTGGCGTGAAATGAAATCAAACATGTGGGCTTGGCAGACGACGTGCATATTGTTCATATTGCATACTCGGACTCAAAAACATAATAATTCCCGGCGGTGGGATTTTTACTGGGGAATCAACTCCTGCGAAATTCAAGTCTGAGAGATGGCCTGGCTCTGTGGTGAGCAGGCGGCCCGGCAGGAGCATGCGACGGGCGGCCCGCCCTCTCCACAGCGGTCCCTCCGGAGGACAGCGCCATCCAACGCCGCCTCGCCCCGCGGCGGCGCAGGCCCGCGCACGTGTCGGGCCGGCGCCGCTGTCCGCCGGGCGAGCCAGCGCCGCTACGTGTCCATCCGGGTCAGGCCTCGTCACGTGTCAGCGGCTGACGGGCCGGGCTCGACGAGCGCCGACCGCAACTGCGCCGCCGCCGCCCGGTGACAGCAGCACTGCGCCGCAGCAGGCCTGTGACAGCGCCACTGCGCAACCTGTGCCCAGCGCCGGGGACACTGCGCCACGGGCACTTGACGACAGCAGCACTGCGCCACAGCAGGCCTGTGACAGCGCCACTGCGCAACTTGTGCCCAGCGCCGGGGACACTGCGCCACAGTAGACCAGCAACGGTAGCGCTGCGTAACACGCGCGCGGTGCCGTCGAGAACCCTGTGTCAAAGCCAGGTGGCATCGGGAGGGCTGTGCTACAGCAGCCCTGCACGGGAGGGCTGAGCCACGACACCCCAACATCAGGAGCGCTGAGTCCCAGCAGCCCAGCATCGGGAGGGCTGAGCCACAGCAGGCCGGCATCGGGAGGGCTGTATCACGGCACCCCCACATCAGGAGCACTGAGCCACAGAAGGCCGGCATCGGGAGCACTGAGCCACAGCACTCCCACATCAGGAGCACTGAGCCACAGCAGGCCGGCGTCGGGAGCCACAGCAGATAGGCGGGCATTGGGAGCACCGCGCCATAACAGCCCGGCATCGGTAGCGCTGAGCCGCAGCAACGCAACGACGATAGCATAGTGCCACAGCAGCCCGGCGACGGGAGCATAGCGCCGCAGCAGCCCGGCGACATGAGCATAGCCCGGCGACGGGAGCATAGCGCCGCAGCAGCCCGGCGACAGGAGCGGAGCGCTGCAGTAGCCCGGCGACAGGAGCATAGCGCCTGTTGTCATACACCACTCGTGCACGACAGCAGCGCCAGTTGTCGTACACCACCCGTGTACGACAAGAGCGCCGGTTCCGCGATTCGCAACCCCGTGCACTGTGTTCTTTGCCTGTGTCGGATGGGATCAGATCATGTGGTTATAGGCAGTGGATGCGAGGGTCTGCTTGAGACAATTGGCAGACTAGTTTGCTTTGAAAGCACTGTATGAAGTAAAATCAGAGGAATCGGCGGTTCGCTCACGGGGCCCGCGCCGTCACCGTGCAAGGCATTCCTAGGAGTGGTTGCTCGTCTACACATATAGGTGGCAGCACTCGCGATCCTGTTTCTCTGCACATTTCATACGGAAAGTAACCTCAAAATCTTGAATTCCCCATAGTTGACTACCTGGCCTCGCACTCCAAATGAACATGAAGGTAACGAGTGATTCTACGAGCAGTGCATTAAAGCGTTTTATCTAGCTGCGCTGTTTTTCCAATAGTTGTATGAGCAAGTCCTGCGCTATCGTTATAGCAATATATGGCGCATCGTTATATATTGCTATATAATATACATTATATATCGTTACACACACATAGGCATATAGATATATCGTTATAACAATATATAACACATAATATATAGCGTTATCGCTATAGCAATATCGTGCGTTATAACATCTGCTACGTTAATGGCTTGTAACTTTGTTTAGCACTGGCATCGTATACGGACCTCCATAATTACATTACACATGGAGGGGCCAGGTTTTTTGCAATATAACAGAAGCCTAGTGAGAGATGGGAAGGTTTTGGATAGCATGACACTCCATTCAGGTGTGGCTGCAAATCATGCTAGAATATATTTTAAAACCTTAAAAGTTTAAAGCCTGATGCTGTTCGCTTCCCTTAGTTGCAAGGAACAAGCCCATTATTTGTTTCGTATCTCCAGCTCAATCAGGGCCCAAAAACACGCCACTTTTTGTTACGCCTAGCACAGCGTAGCCACGGGGGGGGCGTCAGTATCGGGGGGGGGGGGGGGGGGGCGTCAGTATCAGCAGTACATAACCAGGAGACGGGGAGCGAGGGTTGAATATGACCAAAATAAAAGCGAGCGCTATTCACAAATGAACCCATTTCGCACGTTCACGGGCAGAACAGCGAACATTTCGACTAAATGGCCACCCTTTTGCATTTTGCATTACGGTGGCACGTCGAGATGCGTAGTCAAGGACCGAAATTCATCCAGGCCATTGTTTCATACCTCAGCGCAGTGAGATGTGCAGGAGGCCTCCAATGTTTTAATCTTGTCATTGGCTACCTTCAACTGCGTCTCCTGGTCTGCAAAGCGAGACAAACAAGGGTGAGCAATGCACATAAAGTCTGACAAATCCAAAAGGGTCTATGAACTGTTGTCAGAGTGGCAATCAACTCCCTCTCCCCTTCTAAAAGGTTTCGTCAGGTCAAATCATCAAGTTTCTACCCAACTGTACTGTAAATAATGAGGTGCTAGAGATGGTTCAGACATAGGCATGGAGAACACAAACATTCTTTGGTTTTGTTTTCTCAGTTTCAAATAGAGCACGTACACAAATCACTTCAATTTCAAATTGATTTGTATTTGTACAACATTTGGCATTGTACAGTATCAACACACAAGTGGTCTATTATATGCATGCTGACTAGCCACTGAACAAAACATCTCATCTAGTTTCGCGTTTTTTTTCTGGCAGCTCCCCATCCATGCCCATTTGATGGTCATTCAACCGATTTTTGTGGCCATCTTTTAACTCTGAAAACTATTCCTATGCATCGAATTTACAAAAGGAAGTGCTAGACTGCCCAACTTGTAAATGATGATGTTTTCTTATGAATGTATCCCATTGCACACAGTCTGAAAAAGTTAGCTGTGTCACTGTAGATTTTGTATAAATTGCAATGCACTTCACAGCAGCTTGACCAATCTGTGATCTCAGTGCTGTGGCTGGGGTCAAAGCCATAACATGGATGGGGTCAAGGCCACAACATGACAAGGTGGCAAGCTCCAGTCATTTCTGATACTTCATGGTCGCCAGCAACACTAATAATGGCCACAACCAGCCACTTTCATCCTGTTTGCCAGCAACTTGATGCAAGCTGTTAGCAACCAGCAGGTCAAGATGCATCTTGCAGCTGCCAAGACCAGCCTGACCCACCCAATGAACACAAACTTCCTTTCCTTCTGACTGAGTCGCTGGACTGCTCTGGAGCAGAACACACACCCACTGTGAGTGAGCCCAATAGGCACCACATGTAAGATATGACACAGCTTAAAGCTTCAGTTATTCACAGCAGACAACAGCCTGTATTCTCTGGTTCAAAGCAGGGTAAGACATGCTGCAGCATATCAGTGGTAACCTATGGTACTGAAATGCATGTGCATTGACTTTACAAACCCAAAGAACCATGCCCTGAGAATGTCTGACTTTAGTGGGAATCCATGGCCTTCATACAACTGCTCTGGGCACAGTGGAACAGAGTTTTTTTTGTTGTTGCTTTTTTGGTCTTACAACCTTCCCTGCACCAGTTATTTTAAAAGAATTTTAAGCCAACACTTAAGGCTGAAACAAGTCAACACAAGAAAATGGTTAAAGCTGAAGCCACCTCTTTCCCCTCATGACATTAGTCCAGATGATATACCTCATTGCATGTTAGGCATATTTGATAACTTCCTAGTCTCTGTGCATATGGATGAAATAGTCCTCTTATTCCATCTTGAATGCTAAATGAAAGGAGCTTCTCTAATATTTTTTATACAACACTGCAGCACAGAAATCTCAGTTTCAGTATACATGCAGACACTGGGCCTGACAGCAGTTACTGTTGTGACTGCATGCCTGTTCCCTGAAGTAACTCAAGCTTTCTGACCAAAATCTAGAGCTTTTATTACAGGGATATAGCACATGTAAAATGGCAAGTTTGTTGTGTTTCAACAATTTACCTCAAAACCTGGTTAGAGTAACATAGCCAGCATCTTTGACTTTTAGTTCAATTTAGTTAACAATATGCCCATCAAAACTGTATCTTTCTTACCAAACAAAATGTAGAACACATCATTTTAAAATCTTTTCCTAAAGCATCAGTCACTGCTGTGGTCATACCAGCATTCACAGATCATGACATAACTGGCATTAAAAGCCAGAAGCTGGCCTATTCACATGTGACTTCAAGGTCCCATATACCTGACAATTAGACTCATAGTTTTGTGATATGGAACAGAGGAGCATTGAATGACATAAAAGAAAGGCAGCCAGGACAGCATTCCCCATAACCACCAGCTGTTCATTATTACCATCTATCACAGTACAGGTAAGTGTGTCACAACAGCTCCTATGGCTTAAAGGAAAGTAAATTATGTTTGATGTGGATACCTGAAACACCATAGGTAGCAATTAAAGTAGATGCTTTGCCAATGGGAAATGCAGCACAGACAGCAAGCCTTGAATATTGCCTTACTTCTATATAACACAAAATTGGCATATCAATCACAAATTAGTGATAATTGTGGTGTGTCACAGGCAGGTAGTAGCATAGTTATGCTGTGGTTTTCTCCTGGAATACCATAAACAGGTCTGAAACACATTACCAATAATTCAAATACTAATTCTGCTTTTCTTTACATGCATCAAACTAAAACACTCACATCACAAATTTCTGTTCAGAGACACCAACTACTTCATCATCATGAGTGGATTTATGATCGTGTTTAATCAATGGAGGGAAAACTGACATTTGCAACAGGCTTACCATCCACTTCATCTGCTCCTTCTGCAAGCACTTCTTTAGCAATGTTTGAAAGTTGTCCCTTGATGTTGCTAAAGCTTTCTCCAAACCATGCCATCTTATGCTCGTTGCTACGGACGTGACGTTAATGTATAACAGACCCCACGAACAGAAATCAAACACGCGAAACTACTCTCGGCTCAGCTAGGGGAGAGCCGCGTAATGAGGTGGCAATATCTAGTAAGAACTACATGAATAAAGCACTATAAAACACAGCGGTCCAGCTTGTAATCACCAAACTGAAACGCCTATATTCTCAAGGTGGGTTTGCAGAGCGTCTTAGCGACACATCACCGATCGACGCGTCATCAAAACGCGCAACTATTTTGTAGCTAGACCACCACAGATGCCTCATAATCCTTCATCTAGGGCTGCTAAATACAAACAAATTCATTGAGTTGAAGCCATATGCACTTGCGTGAAACTATGCACGGATGCGCGTGACACTGATAGGAATAAAAGCACACGCACACAAAAGCACAAGAGATGTGTTATGACTTAAGACATTCATGTGCATTCATTATTTGCTGAACCGTATAAATTTCTGATTACCGACCCATTGGTAATATCAAATACGCATGGATCTCAAGATTGACGTCACATTACATCCGTACCAGTACCATGGCTGGTGATAAGGCTCGTGACGCAATTCAAACATGCTTTGGGTTATGTATCTTGGACATCAGTGACATTCATGGGTTATGTCTCACCGTTCTAGTAAGAATGTATGTCTTGCCATTTGGGCATGAAGAAGAGGAGACGAGCAACGTGTGGGCAATTGTCGGCTTTACAGTCATGGTGACCGTGGGCACAAATGCGTTTAGTTACAATTAGCACGCCTTGTCATCTCCATGCCTCTATGAGTTTTTGCACGATTGAACCGACTGACGTCACCGGGGAACATGTTTACGGTCTCTTAATGCCTCTCTTTCGACGGAAGCGAAGGTCTCTGGGTTGTCTACGTATCCATACCATTTTGAGTATACTCTTCAAATTCGATGCTTTGCATTGTTTTTTTTTTATTTGAGCTTAGCTGTGAATCAGTGAGCCACTACTAGATGAACAAACGCTCTTTTATCCACTCGTCATTCATTCAGCACACAATGTTGACGTCCATCTGAGAAGAGGCAAACAGCATTATCAACGCGCCATCAATCAAGAAACAGAAGAGGCTGAGAATATCCTCCCATCTCCTTTAGTCTCTGGGGGTTTTCACACGCAATCGTCGAAGCGGATTAGTCGGCGTTTCGGGGGGTGATGATCGTCGGGGGCCCGTCGGCGAGCGATGGGAATGGAAGTCAGCATCGGTGGTCTCGTGCGGAGGCGGCGGGGAGGCTCCAAATGGGTCGTCCGGTACCGTCCGGATGCCCCTGGCGAAGCGCCTGAGTGGAGTGCTGCCTGATGGGGGGGGGGGGGGAGGGGGGCTGGCTGGCTGGATCGACGGCGCGGGTGTAATGAGGTCGGAAGTCGCAGCTAAGAGGCGCGGAAGATGGCCGGTGGCTCCTGACTGCGGTGTAGGACGAGACACCGGGCTTGCCATGCGAGTGGTAGCTCGGGGAGCCGGTCGGCGGTAGATGGCAAACACGTGTGGGGGGCGCAGAAGATGTCGAGGAGGGGTGGTGGCTGTCGTACCGGGGCGCACTCGCGAGGGAACCGGCTGTCACGCAGACACCCTGCCGGAGCCGTAGACTCGTATCACGTATTAGTCGAATGACCTGACCCTAATGACCAAGCCGTTGTATCCCACTTGTTTGAGAATTCACCGACCTGTTTCGGAATGCGAACGTGATCTCCCGCTTGAATTGTGATCAGGCGTCGGATGTCTTCGGACCAGCGTTCTGCGCCCTTCTGGTGCCTGTTTCGAAGGGCATTTTCGCGAGGCGCCAGTGTGCCGCGCCGCGTCTCGTGCGGCCGGTACCGTCCGGGGGGGGGGGGGGGGGGGGGATCGGGATGAAATCCTGGATGGGGCGACCGAAGAGGCGCATTGCCGGAGACATCTTGGTGTCCCGGTCAGGCGTGTTTCGGCACTGAACAACGGCACGCCAGAAGGCGTCGGTGTCGAGGGCCGTCTTCCGAAGCGCTGTTGTCAGAGATGAGGCATTTCTTGATGCCGATTTCTGCGCGACAGTTTCCGTCGGCGAACGCCACCGACGACAGTTTGTGGTTGACTCCCCAGGTACCAAGAAACTGGCGAGTGGTGGTCAACGTGAATTCTGGGCCAGGTCCGAAGCCAACTCGTCGGGTATGCCGAATGTAACGAATGTGCGGCGGAGGCCGCCGATGAGACCGTGTGCGCCTTGCCGAGGCTCGGTGCGCCCCACCATTGGTCAGTTGGAACAGCGATCCACGACCACCAGGTATTGTCACCCTCGATGGAGGAAGAAATCAACGTACACACACTGGAAGAAGTGCGCGGGAGATTCCAGAGCAAAGGGCGGCGTAGCCGGTTGAGACGGGGCTATCCTGTTGCAGTGGAGACACAGCGCGTATGGAGGCGATATTGCCGGCAAGCCCGGGCCAGCACACAACGCTTCCAGAACCCGACCACACTGGGTGGAACGCCTCCAAAACCCGACCACACTGGGTGGAACGCCTCTAGAATCCGACCATTAGTCGCTACCGAGGGTACGGACGGCCGTGGTCGGCGGCCGAGCTAGCTACACTCGATTTCGCCCGTGACCTAGGTCTGGCAGCATATGAACCACGCTAAACATAATGGAGAGGACTCGCCAAGGTCCAAGCCCTCCTTGATAGCCGTCTCGGCTGGAACCAAGAGGAAAGAACAGTATGGACGCCCATATCTCGCCTCGCGAAGATGTCAGTGCCGTGCCGGGAATGTGGATGTAGTAGGCTGGCCGTGGTGGAGGTTTCAGAAGTCTCCGCCACGGCGTGGGAGTGGGGCAGCCGCCCTCCCTTTAGGTCACTCTCGCCGTCTGCCAGGTCGTCAGACGGAAAGGCTCCCAGCGCGCCATTTCCTCGACCCGTGGCGCCAGGAGCAGCTGGCGGCCGCCGCTCAGGGGGCAGCATCGACCGTCGGAACTCCCTGGGCAGGACCGTCACCATCAGCCCTCCCGCAACGCAGAGAGCGAAGGATTCCTTCGTTACCCGCTGCTGCCCCCTGCCGGCTACCTGTTGTCGGTTCGGAGGGCACGGCCGGGGGCATGCAAATCTTAGTTTGTGTATAGGTGGGCACCGATACTTTCCCGACGGCCACCACCTGCACGGGCACAACCTGCACAATCCATATATATCATGGCCAATAAATAAAGTTAAGAGAAGATGGTTTTGAGCTACATTTAGTTTTTCCCATATTTTTCTGTAATTTTCCAGGTAGAAGTATTGGCTTGGGGGGGGCGGAAGGAATCAGCATTGAGGTGACCCAACCCAACCCAGAGATTGGTCAGTGCCCCAGAAATTAATTTGCATTGACACTCTTGCGTTATACATGAAAGACATAACAGATAGCCTTACATTTTGAGGTTGGTTGGTTGGAGGGGTTCAGTGTTGCTTAGGGACCTGAGGAGCACTGGGAAGCCAGACTAAGAGTGTTCAAATAAATACTTTGGTTGTAGGTTTGTGTTTGCAGTATTCGGCGAAATATGTGTTGCGAAATATACTTCTGGTTCTGCGCGTGTATTTCTGGTCTAACATTAATTGACCGTATCTCCATTTTTTTATCTTTAGAGGCTCAAACTCAGCGTTAAGTTCTTTTTAACTCGCATCACGTGTCAAACAAATGAAAAGGTTTTAGGCACGACCCGACTTAGCCGAGATAGTGGGCTATGCACCCCTGTTAAACCCGTCCCTCTATTTCTCATGGCTACTGTGCTGAGCCCTGTCAACCAGTACCCCACTGAAGGTGCAACAATGCCAAGCGTCACGCTATGGGAAAAATTGCTCGCACTTAATTTGCTGTCGCTTTTAAAAACATGTGTTAAACTTTACTATGCAACCAACATTCCATAGACCAGGAAACAGTGCATATTTTGTGTGACCATCAAAACTGCCAATCTTGATAGCAAAACGGTACAAGGTGATAAGACGAGTCAACTTTCAGAAACTATCCCAAATGTTCGTTTAACGTCAAAATGGCCCCAGAAAAAACCTTATAATCTTAATTTCATCTTTAAAACTTATATGAAACTTCCAAAAATTTGGAGGTTTTAGTGCATATATTGGCCAAACCGTTGTGAGCTCTACGTTACATAAAACTCGACAGAGATAATTCTAGGCTTGTCATGTCTTAGCATCAAAATGCGATACAATGAATTAGGATAAAATACCGTACGATAAATGTGACATATATATATATATATATATATATATATATATATATATATATATATATATATATATATATCAAGGACTATCTGCCTTTGAAAATCACGTCATTCTAGTTGAGCTACAGCCCGCCGAATATTACCACCTAAAAAACAAGCGTGCTGAAATGTTTGGACTGCCAACGTAACTCTATGGAGGGAGACTACTTCCGCGCAGTCAAATGTGCTTGACTCACTAATGAATATATTTTAAGTCTGTGGAAAATACGTTACAGGCACACACCAGCCGCATCTTTCATGTTGCCTTAACATTGACCAATTTCGTAGCAGAATGGTAAAATGCTGGTACGAAGAATCCTTTGCATTTTGTTTGCTTGACAACCCTCCAGGAGGTGGCTTTTCAGGTTTCGGCTTGTTACAACGCTCGCTAGCTTCGGGTCGTCACGCCATTCACTCACCTGTTACAACACATTACAAAAATGCTATAAAAGAGAATGCTGTGATAAAATGCGATACCACAAAATAGGCTATACAATATGACAATATTAAAATACGGTGCAATGAAATGCGGTACGATGAGTGCGATACAGTAAAATTCGAAGCTATAAAATACGTACGGAGACGGAACGAGGAATCTAATAAGCATTCTTAGATTGGCAACAGAATGTCCCAAACCCAGCGTACACATACAAAGATGAAATACAAATAAATTTCAACCACATGGAATCCGCATTGGCTTGTGTAGATCATACGCGTAAATACATGTGACATGCAATCATACAGGCAACCAGCATGGGCTTAAAACCAAGGGCAACGACCTAAGCATTTGCGTTTTGAAATGCGATTTTTTAAAAAATCCCTTTGAAGTCAGAGATTAAGACATAGTGGTGGTCGGATGCAAACGGCTGACAGATAGGGAGAGGCTCGCTTGGTGGCTTCAAATCAGCACCTGGGTAGGTGGATATATTTTTACATGGAGGAGC